CATGACAAATTTTTCCATAAACCATAATTCTGTGCCAAAAGCCTCAAGTTTGATACTAAAAATATACTTGTATTCCTGTTTTACCAAAATGCCACTGCAAGTAGGGAAAACACGACATTTAAATCTACCATCACACACGCCAGTGCATTGGCACATCACAATCACAGAGGCACAGAGTCATTCAGGTTGGAAAAGATCTTTCACATCATCAAGTCCAACCATCAACCCAACACCATCACCAGAAAACTTTTTCCCCAAGTGCCACATGCACTTGGTTTTTGAACACCTCCAGAGATGGGGATTCCACCACCTCCCTGGGCAGCCTGTGCAAATGCTTTACAGCCCTTTCTGTGAAAAGGTTTTTCCTAATGTCCAACCTGAACCTGCCCTGGCACAGCTTGAGGCCGTTTCCCCTTATCCTGTCCCCATTCCCTGGGTGTAGAACCTGGCCCTCCTGGCTGTCCCCTCCTGTCAGGAGCTGTGCAGAGCCACAAGGTCCCCCCTGAGCCTCCTTTTCTCCAGGCTGAGCCCCTTTCCAGCTCCCTCAGCTGCTCCTGGAGCTCCAGCCCCTTCCCCAGCTCCATTCTCTTCTGTGGACAAGCTCCAGTGCCTCAATACATCACTAATAATGCCACACTTTGAGTTATTTAAAATCCTCCCATATTCTGCTAGATTACATTTATACCAAATCATTTACAATCCACCTGTACTCTGTGGGATGCCAAATGCACTCTGCAATACAAACTAGGAAAACAATAGAGTTCAAAACCAAATCCACACCCAATTTAAATTGCAATTACCTATCAACAGTGTATCTGCATCAGGGCACCTTTATACAAAGAGAAGCTCCTTGGACCTGAGCCCCAACTGTATCTCAACCCCTTGTAGAGTCCTATCTTGCCCCAGGGACCACAGCACCTCACCAAAACATCCAGAAAATTTGCCTGTGAGGCAGCTACATATAAAGCTCTTTTTTTGGAAGATTTAAGAGAATAACAACACAACTTGTGAAAAAAAATAGCTTAATGTTCATTAATTCAGTTGAACAGCCTTCAGAAAGAACAACACTAGGTAAACAAATTGGATGCTGTGAAATACTTGCCAGGCAATACTTTTATGAGGTTTGTGGTCACAACAGCATTTCTTGCATTTTCTTTTCAAGTGCCTCAGCGTGATCATCAGATGTATAGTACAGATAACCAGCAGTCATCTGGACTTTACACATACATAAAATTCAAGACACTGGCCTGTGGTGTGTCTTTCTAACTCTGAGAAAGACCAAATAAATTGTTTTCAGAAACTAGTATAAAATGAAGTTGAAAATTGTCCATCCTCCACTTTGAGAGAGCTCCCTGCCCTCACAAATTGCCCATCACACTAAGAAGTAAGGCTCCCTCAGGGAAGTTGGACTTCCACACAGAGAAGTGTAACAGGATACTCTGAGGCACGTTTGCCAGCAGCTCTGGGCTGTACAGGTCAGTTCTCTGCAGGTTTCAGTTTCAGTCACTCCACTGAATGAAGTCTAACAGCTGCCAAGGAAAGGGATCTCCTGTGCAAGGAGAGGGAATGGGGGAGGAGGCAAGGAAGCAAGGAGTCAGTGAGTGGGAAAATGTGACTCAAGCAGGGAGCAAGAAGGGGTGGTACAGCAAAGCATGGTCAAAGGAGTCAGTCTGGAACACAAGCAAAGAACCTGGAGAGGCAGTGGGAGCAAGAATGTGAGGAGGATGGGAAAAAAACCTGAAAAGGTGAAAATGTGCAGAAGAAAAATTGAATAAAAACATATGAGAAAGAAAACAGGAGCTATTGAAACAGACGATGTGAAAGAGGTCTGTGATGAAAACTAAGCACAGGACCCGTGAGAGAAAGCTGAGACTTCTTTCTACTGGGCATGCACAAGGACAAAGGACCACCACACAAACCTGCAAACTAAAAGTGCACCACACAAGATCTTCTTGCTCTTGTGGATGGGCTAGTCTCTGAAAAAGAGAACTATTAACTCCTACCCTGAATCCCTTTCTGCTCACTAAAGTGAAGAAAGTGATCACTGAGAGAAAATCAAACCAAAACATTCCTAACCCATCCTCTTGATTTTCTGGCCATTCCATGGAAAAACAGCTCCAAAGAGATGAACTTGACTTTCCGGAAGGATATAAAAGAGTTCTAGGTTCTACTCCTGACCCAAATCTTTTCCTTCTTGTTTATTGCTGTGGCATGATGCTTTTTAAGTTCCATATAAGTTTGTTCCATAAAATAACAAAAAAAAGGGGGAGCAGGGGGGAACAGAGGGAAAACAAAAAGAAAATTACACCAAATGTGGATACAGTAAGGACCCTTTTGTGATAGAACACTCTGATACTACAGTGAAGAACTCTTTGTAAGGAAAAAAAAAAAAGAGAACCTATACAAGCTATTCCTTCTAATTTTCTAAGCATTTGGTTTAAGGTATTTATACCAATAGCAAACATATATCTTGTAAACAGAAGAATCTTTGACTGGGAGGAAATAGAGAGGATATCCATTTTTTTTATGACATGCCTGAAAAAATGGAATTCTTAAGCATTGAGCATATTCTGAGATATTCCACGGGAACTAAACCCAAAAAGTAATTTTCAAGGGCTTTTTCCCCCTTTCTGATTCTTTTTTCTTTTCTTTTTGAGAGAGTTTTTACTGCACAGTACAGCACACTTCACCAGCCTGGGGCATCCTGTTCCTATTTCTTCTTCAAGTCAACAGAAGAATTTGACAAGTAAAGAGGAAGAGAGCCAGAAAAAATTGATAGGAAGGGAACAAAAAACAGATGCTGAAAGAGAGGAACGCATGATGTACAGCAGAAGGGGTGAAAAAAGAAAGAAAGAAGACCCAAACAAAAAAAAAAAAAAAAAAAAAAACACACCATGTTCATTTCACTGCGAGATTTTGAATGTAAACATGGGATAATAACACAAAAGGAAGAGTGCAACTGCATTGTTCATGTTCTTAAGTGCACTCCCATGGAAGGGCATTGGAAAAAACCTCAGCAGCACCGTAACTACTACACGTGCAGTTCACTGACACTACTTCAGCTCGTACCTGAACAACTAAGGTGAGTATTTGATAGCTTAAGCTACTCTGGTGCACAAAGCGCACTTAGAGCCCACTCCAGTCTATCCCGAAGGCTTTGGGAAGCTTTGTAGAGAGACAGCGAGGCGGTGGTCACAAAATGTTACTCGCCCTCGGCAGAGAAACGCCTGCGACAAAAACGACTAGGATGGGACAGGAACACTTAGGCTCCAGTCTCTGCAATCGCAGGAAACCCAATCTCTTGCCAGCCCTCGGGAGTTCCCTGCTGCTCTTCCCGGCTCCTGCCCGCCCCAGCCAGGTCCCGCTCGGTGCCCCGGGGGAATGCCCTACCTGGGTCGTGGAACGGCACCAGCGCGAAGTTGTACAGCGGCCGCTTGGGTCTCTTCAGCGACGTCTCCAGGATCTTGGATGCGCCCTCGATGACTTGCACCAAGTCGTCGTACATGGAGCCGGTCACATCGAAGACGAAGGCCAGGGTGGAGGCTCCCTCGGGCACCGCCTCGGGCTCGGGCACGGCGCGGGCGCTCAGGGCGAGCAGCAGCAGCAGCGCCGTGCCCAGCGCCCCGGGGCTCCCCGCCACGGACATCGCGGCGGCACCCGCGAAAGGCACTGCGGGCACCCGGGCCGGGGGAACACAGACAGACCGCGGGGACAGAGCGGGACGGACCGGAGAGCGTGGGGATGGATCGGAGACGGAGCGAGGAGAGCGCGGGGATAAACCGGGACTGAGCGGGGAGAGCTTGGGGACAGACCGGGACAGACCCGGGAGAGCGCGGGGATAAACCGGGACGGACCCGGAGAGCGCGGGGATAAAACGGGACGGAGCGAGGAGAGCGTGGGGACAGACCGGGACGGACCCGGAGAGCGCGGGGATAAACCGGGACGGAGCGAGGAGAGCGTGGGGACAGACCCGGGAGAGCGCGGGGATAAGCCGGGACGGAGCGGGGACAAGCCGAGGGGAGCAAAGACCGAGCAGAGCGGACCCCGTCGCCCCCCGCCCGCTCCCCTCCGGCGCGGCGCAGGAAGCGCCGCCGCTTTTGTCTGCGCGCGGCTGCGGCCCCGCTCCGCCTTCGCTACCGGGCAGGGCTGGGGCAGCGCCGCCCCGAGGGACAGGGCTGAGCCCCGGCCGTGCCGCGGGGCTGCTGCTGCCAGCCGGGGCCGGGGATGGAGCTGCGGCTGCCGCCCCGGGAGCACCGGCTGCGGATTGAGCCCGCCCCGGCCCCGCCTCCCGTGGCCCGCTGCGGCCCCTGCCCTCACTTGGGGTCTCCCCCTCACTTCGGGGTCGCCGTCCTTACTTTAGGGTTTCCGCCCTCACCAGGGGTCCCTCCATCACACCCGGGGTCCCTCCCTCACTTCGGGGTCGCCGGCGTTACGCCGGGGTCGGGGTCCCGCCCCTTCTCGGGGTCCCGCCCTCACCTGGGGGTCCGGCCCTCACCTGGGGTCCCTCCCTCACCGAGGTCGCCGTTCTTACGCCGGGATCCCGCCCTCATTTGGGGGTGCCTCCATCAACCCCGGGTTCCTTCCCTCACACTGGGCTCCCGCCCTCACGCCAGGCTTCCATCCCTCACCTCCGGCTCTCCGCCCTCAGCCCGGGTGCTTCTCTCACCGGGGCTCCTCCCGCCCCGGCCCCAGCAGGACCGTCCCTCACGGCGCGGGCTCTGTGTCCGCACCTGCCGCAGCTGAGGGTGGCGGTGCCGGCTCGTCCCAAGAGCAGGGTTCGATGGGATTTGGGAAGGAATCCATCCCTGTGAGGGTGGGCAGGCCCTGGCACAGGGTGCCCAGAGAAGCTGTGGCTGCCCCTGGATCCCTGGCAGTGTCCAAGGCCAGGCTGGATGGGGCTTGGAGCAACCTGGGACAGTGGGAGGTGTCCCTGCCTTTGGCAGAGGGTGGGACTGGATGAGCTCTATGATCTCTTCTGACCAAACCATTCTGAGATGCTGTGATTTTTAGTGTTTTATTATTGGAAATGTGATACAAGACTGAAATCACTCTGACATGCGCTACTGCCCTGACTGTCCCTTGGCTTCAGTTACATGTCCACAACTACTACTGAAGACCTCCTCAGTGCCCATGAGCATATCCTTAAATTTAATAGTTTAAAGGGAGTAGGGAAGACTCCAGATTGTGACCAGGACCGTGGTTCCAGCCACTGTTAGTTCCTGGTGCAAGAAAAAGCCTGGAAAACAAAAGAAGGGGAGCGTCCAGAGTGCAGTTTTAACCTTGCTCAGGCGATGAAAGAGATTAGAGGTTTTATATTTCAGGCCTCAGTCGTTAGGGATGCAGCAATATCCCAGCAGGCATCTTCAAAACTCAGTCCTGACCCAATGCCACACAGAAGGGCTCCGTAGAGAGTCACAAGCCAAATTCCCTTTGCTCCAGCTCACCTCAGTGCTGCTGTGTAATCTTCCTTTCCATGGGCTGCATCCTGCATTATGGGGAGTAATGGGACATCATTTTAAAAACCAAGTGGGAGGGAAATCCCCAGCCTTTGCACAATGTTCAGTGCAGCTCAGAAAGGTAGAGCACGAAGCAGGATTTACCTCGTTAGTTTCCATCCTTATTTTACTAATCTTCAAACTGCTGCATTGTTGTGACTGGAAAATAAATCATGTAGAAACATTGCTTATCCTAATCAAGTTATAAGCCTGGAATTGAATTATAAAAAGCAGATGTTTACATTCTTTCTCCCCTTCAGCACTGATGTCATGAGAAGGGAGCACATAACCAGAGCTGTGCGAAGCATTCGCAATAAAACCCCAAACCATGGAAAACTTGTCTCATCTGTAACTCTGCTAGCAGAAAACTAGGACCAGGTTTGTCAAAAATACTCACAAATTGTGTAAAGAGAGATGCACTCACGCCATTAAATGGGAATATGTATTTCGAACATCCCAAGGACTGGCAGCATTTGGATTTAAGGATTGCCTTCAGCCCTTTAGGAAGACAAATTCCTGTTATGTTTTGCATCATAAAGAAAGCCATAGTTTTCTTTCTGTCTTGAATTATTTCCCAATTTGCTGTGAACAAGAAAGAACAAACCCAAGAACTATACGAGAAAATAACCCTCTGGGGTTATACCTACTTCTGTGTCCCAAAAAACACATCTCAGAACATGGCTTTTAAGGTACCACATACAGCAAAATCTTTATTTTGTAACAGTGGAAACTGGTACTTATTTTGATTGTCTCACACTTTCCACTATAAAATAGCCTTGCAGCTTGGAAGCTCTGACACTGTTATTCACAGCAGGCCTTTGAAATCTGCAGAAAGTCCTGTAGCAAGAAGAACAACATTTTTTTCTTCTTCTCCAATGAAATGGTTTTCACAGTTTGCCAAAGATTCATCTACTGAAAGAAAAAAAATCCCTGTGTTCCTTCTGCCATGCTCTCCAGTAAGGTTTTGCCATCATGCCAGAATGAAGCCCAGGCACTCCGAGGTCAGGCCATGGCACTGTGGGAGTGCTCTGTGGCAGGAGCACCTGGGTTATCAGGGCTGTGGGCAGGGCATGCAGGGCAGTGGGCTCGGGGTACCCCAGAGGGAGCAGCCCTGGCTCTGCCACAGCGGTGCCACCCTCACAAGGTCCACTGGAGTCTCCTTCATACGCACAGGTATTTCAGTTGCATTCACACTTCCTAATTCTGAGCATTTCTAACTTCGCCTTGATCATCTTTTTGTGCCTGTTTCGAGGCTGGAAATTAGCATCTGCTTTATGCAATTCGGTAGCATGGAAGAATCCAACAGATGTGGTCTTAATAGTGTCAACCCTTGCCACCACATTCCTGTACTGTCACGCCGAGTGTGGGCAAAGTGTGGGCCAGCTGACCTTTAGAGGTCCCTTCCAACTCAAACAGTGCATGAGTCTTTCCCTATGTATTTATCCTGGACTGTTGTAAAGTATTAGTTGAGGTGGAGTAAAGAATTAAGTTAATTAATTCCTTTTTCTAGCTCATCTCAGTTAAAATGAATAAAATTTGTATACTAGCTTAGAAGATTGGGAAGGAAATACTTTTCACCCTTTGTGCTTCTGTCTGAATCTGCTCCATTTTGTAATTTGCAGCTAAAAATAGTAACTGTTCAGTGGCTGCTAATGAGGAAAGAGCTGACTGTTTCATCCTCGTTTATAATAAACAAGACTCCTCTTCAAAAACCCAAGTTTCCATCTGAAGGAGAACATCAAAATGATTGTTTTTAAAGCTGATGCTGCTCTCTAATTACAGAGCAACTGCTGGTCCCAAAACAGATGCTCCTCCTGGGATCCCATGGACCACTCGCAGCAGGCTGCATCCACCAGAGCTCTTTCTCACGACACCTCTCTCCTGGCCAGCAAGTTCTGCACGTATCCCAGATACTCTGGGCTGCCTTGTCACAGACATTTGACAATATTTTGTTTCCTCTGGAACTCCATTAAACTTTTTAGGCATTTATGCATTTAAAGCTTTTATTCCAACTCCTCCTAAAAGTCCCATTCCTCCTTTTCTCTTTTTTTTGTTTTTGGTTTTCGGCTTTTTTTTTTTTTTTGGCAGGGTTTTGGATTTTTTTTTTATTTTTGTTTCAACTTGATTAATTGTGGAAAAGGAGGGAATGGTTGCTGTTTGTTTTGGGCAGGTGGCTTTGGCTCTCCCTGTGAGTAGTGTGTGTATTGTAGAGTGAGAACTCTCCAGTTCACTGACCGTATTTTCTTAGCCAATCTTTAGTCCTGTCTTTGTACTTTATGTATGCAGACACTCTGATCCTGCATATGAGAGTTGCAAATTCACTGCTCTAAAACGAAAAATAACCTTTTTGTCTCAAATTGTTGCATGCAGGCAGAACCTATGTTGCTTTTGGCAAGGGCAAGGTTAAGGTGCCATCCCAGGACAGGAATGTTACAACAGGAATTAGCAGGTAGGAGTCTCAGGAGCCTGGAAGCAGATAATGCAGATCACTGGAGTTGCTGCTTAGAGATCTTCAAGGAAAGATAAGCAAGGTGCAGAAAAGAGAAAGGGCTGATAGATTAATCTGTGGTTATATTGTTATAATCTTCATATTCATCTACAGAGACCATGAAAAGACCTGCACAGCTTCTGGGGGAGATTTTGAAATGTGAATGCCATTGTATGATGAGGGTTCAGACTCTGAAGGGATCTGACAACCCCTGACCCTTTTCCAGCCTGTGCCCTGTGGTTTTCAGCTGTGCAGCTGCTGTCACACGTGGACAGTGTGTTTTTAGTACTCATCTCTCCGCTCTGTGGCCAAGGCATTTCAGTGGAGATGGTAAAAAGCTGTCCTGCAGACAGAACCAGAGAGCCTTTATACTGAACAGTCTCAAGGCCTTTCAGTCACAGAGGATTCACAGCTTCCTGTGAGGTACCTTATCTTTGCCAACAATATAACAACTGTGATTTAATATAAAAATGGGATGCATGTAACTTATGTTCTACTTCTACCTTCTGACTCTTTCAGAAGGGTAATATATTGTGAGTTTTCTCCAGAATCCCCATGACTAGAAACAACCTGCTGTAGTTAAGGAAACAAACCCTTGAATTCTAGCATCTGTGTAGGAATGAATGTTTTTATTACATAGTCCAGATGCTGAAGAACTGCAAGTTTCTGATCTCCACTTTCCCAAAAGTTTTGAATCTGAAACTAAGCCACTAGGCTATATTCCCTGCTCCTACCCTACAGCTATAAAGAGATAAGCTGGGAACTGAAATCTATTTTGAAATGTTCACACCTATAGTGTTTGGCTGAATTCTGGCCTTCCTGTGTTTTATGGTTCCTGCTTCCTTTTTAAACTCAGTCTGCTCTAATATTTCATGGCTTTGCCAATTAATGCTGTACAGCAGAACCAGAGGAGACAGGTGAATGGTAACAATTCCCTGTGTTCTACAAACATTTCTGATGACAGGCAGTTTTTCATGTAAAAGTTGTAAAAATGAGATATTTTAACATGTTGTGTGTTCTACATTGTGAAGAATCTAGAAGTCCTGCAGAGACACTTCTGCTATTTTGAATCTTCTTTCTGCTCCACAGAGGTTTGTTTAAATACAAATGTCAGTTTGATTCACAGTTCAACACCTTTCAAACTCTCACATCCCAGTGAATAAGAGTGAGACTCAGGCCTAAGTAGCTGTAGCAACTGGAGTAGTTTGTTTAACAAACCCTGTGCCTGAGCCAAGAGACCATTTCACCCCGCTGTAGCACTGAATCATCTCTCATCTGCAAGATGAAATCACTTTGCTTTTGGTTATAAAACATTTGTTTTATAAAATAGGCCATCCTGTGATCATGACATAGAAGTCAGGGGTCAAAAGTTTTGTTTCTGGCTCGGAAGCAGACTTGATGCCTTCATTAATACAATTATGGAGCAAGACCAGAACCAAGTTAGGACCTGCTCTGCTGCTTACTTGGAAAAACAAAGGAGAAGATAAACTGACAGATGGAGATTTCAATATATGAAATATTAATGAGAAAAATAATGTATTTCTTTATTAAAACACTGGGAACATTATCACACACTGAAAACAACAGAAGAACCACGCCATTAAAGTCATTTTTCAAGATCAGCTCCATGAAGACAAATAAATCATGTACTTAATTTTTTTAATTCTGCACATGGGGAATTCATGCTAATTATCCATTATTCCAAGCTATTTTTGCCCACAGCCATGTCATCATGCAAACCTTAGTTGTGGTTGTGTATTAAATACAGTGCATGAGGCAGTGTGGGGTTCATCGCCCCTAGAATATCAGTATCTCCACTGTCCATGGCTGTCCACATCCACCCTAAACACCTAGAGCTCCTTTTCCAGTCCATGGAGATCTCCCATTTGATTTCTCCAAGAAATCCCCATGTATATGCATTAAATTGCACACATGAACTTTACATCCAATTATATTTATAGAAAACTAGATGTATAGATGTAAAAAAAAAAAAAAACAAGAATGAGAGGAAATGGCTTCAAGATGCACCAGGGGAGATTTAGAATGGAAATTTCTGGGAAAATTTCTTCATGGAAAGAGTGTTTATTGGAACAGATTGCCCAGGGCAGTGGTGAAGTCCCCGTCCCTGGAGGTGTTCAAATAATGTGAGGATGTAGCACTTGGGTCAGTGGGGAATGGCTGGACTCGATGGTCTTGGATGGCTTTTTTCCAACCTAAACAATTCCATGATTCTATGGAAACAGATAAAATTACTACACAGTTACTTCTTTCACCAATTAACAGGAGTAATTGCCTGTTGCATATAGGAATTTTTTGAAAAAAAAAAAATTTAAAGGTGTGTTAAAATTTTTCCCTTGGCAAGGATTGTATTCTGGAGAATTTCAACATATTCTATTTGCCATGGCAGGATTATCAATACATTTACAATTAGGCAACCAGGCTGTTAGGAAAGCAAGAGGAAGAACAAGAACATGATCTCCCTCTGCTGGTACCTCACAAAGAAATGTTGTGAGAAGGGATTAGAGAAAGGATAGATTTTTAGCCTTATTTTTAATAAAGTCAGAGAATATAAAATGAAATTACTTTTCACACGTGAGATTTAAAACAACCTTAAAATAGCAGCAAACATCACAGATACACACAGACCCATCCCTATGCCCAAATGTTTTGTACATAATATTTGCACAAGTCTTTTCTACAGGAAGGTTTTCTGGAAAGTAAATTAAGTTGCAGAGAGATTCTAGTGATAGAAGAATTCAAAAAGCAAGAGTACTTTTTACATTAGGGGGAAAAATGTATTTACTTAGAGTATATCTTTTTCAAAACTTGTCCAATGATAAATTTGTTGAATAATTTGACCAGAGAAAATCTAGCATTTAATACCTTTCTGTTGTCTACTTCATAGTTCTGAATTAATTAAAATGAACTTTGATATTCAGAAAAATCTATAAAAGTTTCATCACATGACAGTTTATAACATGTAACAGCAACTTTGGATACGCAGAACTATTCTCAATTATTTTATTACTAAAGCAAGTCGTATACACTGCAGAAGGACCTGAGGTTAGATGTTTGATGCAGTGCTAACAGAATTAGTCCAGAACATAGCTCTGCAATCCCTTATCTGTCAGGCAAGCAGCAATATTTCATGGCTGACACCCAGAATAGGTTCTGAAAGAAAAGGAAATTACTTCGAGTGTCATAATCCTGTTACAAAGAGCAGCTGCTTTGCCACTTCGGCTCTACAGAAAAAAACTTGTTTTGGAGTCAATGACAGACACTCAAATCATAGATAAAATCACAAAGCATCCCATTCCTCTCATACCTGGAGCTATCCTCTGGAATGCAGTTGACAGATGAGTTTAATTACTGCACCTCATGCCTTGGAATGAACTCTTCTAATTTTAAATTGTCAGGAGGAGTGAGTTAGGGCTCAGCATCAAATCAACACCCTATGACAGAAATTAGATAGAGCTGTCCTGTGGGTGTGCTCTGATAAAGCTGAAGTGAAAGAGATCCAGGCATCCTTGATCATAAATCATGAAATAAAACTATTTTGTGGAATAACAAACCATAGAATCCTAGAAAGGTTTGGGTTGGAAGGGATCATAAAGCCCATTCCATTTCACCCCCTGCCATGGGCAGGGACACCTTGAACCCTGCCAGGAAGGGGAATGAGTTTGGTGTTTGTGCCATTTGCGTAGTAAAGAAGAAAATAAATATTTAGTTCACCAGAGTTGTAATGTTGCTCCTTTAAAGCCTGTCAGAAAAGTATTTTGTTTTAAACCAAACACAAGTCCAGGTTCCAGGCACCTGTCTGGACAGGCTGAGACTGATGAAAATTGCTTGGCACTTCCCTCCCCACCTATCCTCACTGGCATGAAAGTGTTAGCTCACAGTTCCAATCTCAATATTATATTTTTGTGTGTGTGTCAACCTGGCTAATTTAAATATTTCTCACATTATTAAAAATCCTGCTCTAGATTTCTTCAGCCACAGAGCACTAAATATCTTCAGGCATGTGAGATGTGTTTTCCTGGCATTTGGAGAAACCAAGTTCGCACAATTTATGAGTTCATAATTTTTGAGTTTTTTTTTTTAGTCTGCAGTTTCAGTTTTTACATTTAAGCCTATAAAGACCAAAGCATTCTTTAAACTCCTGCCAGACTGTAAGTTAGCACCTCCCCAGTAGTTAACAAGGATAACTTTCCAAGACCTCTAGGTAGTGGAGAGCTAGTTTTACTACCAATATGGATTGTATTCTCCACAGTCACACTCTTCTTGGCATAACAGAGGTATTCTTAAAACTTGGAATGTTTTGCATATAAATTCTTTCATTATTGTCTGTTTCTGTTTCTGCTGTGAAATGTGAGCCTTCTGTCAGGCATAGCATTTTCTAGGATTAAAGGGATGAGTTAAATAAGAGTGGGCTTGAGCCTTTAAGAATAAAAAGCCTTTCACAGGAAAGGGTGATAAAAAAGGTTTCCTCTTACAAAACATAGTTGTTAATGCACACACACCACAGACAGAAATGGCTAATTCGTCATTTGGCATCAGGTTTACCTGGCAGCTTCCATTCCAAACCTGCTTTCAGGGCCTTATTTTGTTAGGTTCGTGGTCTGGTTTGAAATTTTCCAGATAAAAAGTCTGCTCTGGGGTGATTTTGTTGGCTTTCCCCCAAAAGAACTCAGGCATTTCCAAGAGCACTCACTGCCCCAGACAAGACCATCTGTACCCTTCTCTGTACTGGTTTTGCAAAGCACGGTGTGGGGAGCTAAATGGTACCCAAAGTAGGAACCAGCAGTACCAGGAGATCTGCATCAAAGATGGAAGGAATCTCGGAATCATTAAGGTTGGAAAAGACCTCCAAGACCATCAAGTCCAACTTTTGACCAAATCCCACCATGCAAATAAACATATTGTGAAGTGCTACGTCAGTTTTTGAACACCTGCAGGAACAGTGACTCCAGCACTGTCCTGGGCAGTCCCTGACAGTGCTTCACCACTCTTTACAATTTTTTCCAAATATCCAATCTGAATGTCCCCTGACACTACTTGGGACCAGGCTCCTGAGTCTGCAGGGGTGAACTGGCACCGTTTCAATCGTGGTGGCTCTTTGGTCACAGATAGTGAACCCAGCACAGAGCAGGGCTCTGAGATGGGGCTGGGTGAGGTGCTGATGTTCTGAGCCTGGTGCTGGTGGCAACACCCAGGCTTGCAGCTATGCAAACTGGAGACCAGGAGCCACAGGTCTATGCTGCCAGAATTTCAAACTCATTTTCTGAGACTTGAGAACATCGAATTATTTGCACAAATACCCACAGCTACAGCTGCAGCTGGTCTGAACAGCCCTGGCAGGCTGCTCAGCTTTACCTTATTACACATAGCAAAGCCAACCCGCTGGTCTGCAGCTTCAGTGGGTGCCAGATGAGGTCCTGAAGGGCTCTCAGGAGGTTGATGCAGCAGTGTGAGGCTAAAGCCAGATGTAAGCAGGTGAGTTCATTCCCCTGTGGTCACCAAATCCCTTGGTCATGGTCTGAGCACAGTGGTGATTCCTGTCACTGCTCTAAGACCTCAGTTTTAAGTGAGCTTTGCCAGTGCCTTGTGACAGGCTGAACTTCTCTTAAAAAGTCTGACTTGCAAGAGAGAAATTTGGTTTGCAACCAAGCCACAGCGGCATGTGAGACAAGCAAGCCCATTCTGCTCCAGTGCAGTGGAGCATCAAGTGATGCTCTGGTCACTGCCTGCGGTTTGTCTCTGCTCCAAAAGAGTGAGCAGCAGATTGACTTCATGTAACTCGATGCCAAGCCCTTTCTGAAGCACCACAGTGAATCTTGGTAAGTTTACCTCATGGATAAATGACATAAGCTGAGCTGGGAAAACTGTTTCTGCAACTGCAGAGTCTGGCCTATGCACAGGGACAGCTCCTGTAAGGAATGATCACAGCTATGTTTAAAAAGACAAATTACTATTTCAATGCTCCAGTCCTGGATAGATTTACCTCCTGCCTTCAAGCTCCTGGGTCTGAGAGTCTGAAAGAAAAAGGTTGTCTGTTATGCTGAAAGGTATCATAAATAATGTTGATTCCAGTTAAATACAAACTGGAAACAATACACACATTCCTGGTCTGAAGAGGTGAACAGGCTCCTTCACTTCTTTTCCAGCCATCTCTGGATCAGACCATTCCTGTTTAACCAGGCAATGTGTTCAGATCCAGGATAAGCTGCTCCTTCAGTATGAGAGGCCACACTCCAGACACAGGCAGCCTGATCAACTTTCCCATTTCCCCTGCCTGTGTACTTCATTTCCATTGGAAGATTTTCTGAATCCACTGATTAAAGTGCCATGTATATTGGTGTGTATAATAATTCCAAAAATGCAGGGCCTAGATTAGTAGGGCTGCTGCTGAAGCCCATGGGTCTGCTGGCAAAGTTCTGCATGACTGTGCCCAGTAATTAACAGGTAACAAAAGTAATAAACTAATTTTCATGAGTCTTAGAATCCATCAGTATAATACAGAGAAACCACTCCTTCCCACGGCTTGTAGATAAGCAGAAGGTATGGGGAACTGCCCTTTCCATGTATGTCAGCCACAGAACATCTCAAAAATGCATATTTGTCTTTGCCAAGCCTTCCTGAGCTGCTGTGAGGATTTTTAAGATACTCACATTTTAATAACTTAAAATATAAACTTCTGTGTGTACAATAAAATAGTTTACAGGAAGGTAATGCATTGTATTTTCTCTGTTACACTTCTTGAATGCCAAGATAAAATGTATTCTTGCTTAATAACACCAGTGGCAGTATTGCAGGGTTTGGGTATGTTCTGGTGATCAAAGCATTTCTGCAAACTTCTTGGAATGCTTGTTACAGTCGTTTAGTTTCTGTTGCTTGCAGTTACAGAGTTTTTATTGTTGTAATTTTTGTTCTGGTTAAAGTACTTCTAAATCCACTCCTCAAAGCCAGAATAAACAGAGAGAACACACAGCTGAACTGCAATATTCAGCATCCAAATAACCTTTTCTGATAGTGCCACTCTATGATGCTCAGTGTGACTTTCCCAGCACAGACTCAGAAACCCAAGAAGCAGGGGTGGACTTTCTTTGCAGATAAATAAGTAGAAGCAGGCAATGTCCTAAATGTATTTTAGAAGCTCTACTGTAGATGGCCTCAACAAATGGTTCTTGAGGGTCTTCAATTAAAATAAACAAAAAACATGTAGAAGCAGAAGGTTTACAATCTCTTGCAAAATAAAGTACTCTGAAATTTCAGTTTTGGACTTTTATTTCACTGATGCCACAGTTGTTCTGTAGAAGGGACCTACAAGAAAGCTGGGGAAAGACTTCTTACAAGGGCATGGAGTGAAAGGACAAGGGAGAATGGCTTTAAGCTGAAAGGGAGTAGGTTTAGATGGGATATATGGAAGAAACTCTTCCCTGTGAGGGTGGGCAGGCCCTGGCACAGGGTGCCCAGAGAAGCTGTGGCTGCCCCTGCATCCCTGGCAGTGTCCAAGGCCAGGTTGGACGGGGCTTGGAGCACCCTGGGCTGGTGGAAGGTGTCCCTGCCCATGGCAGGGGGTGGGATTGGATGGACTTTAAGGTCCCTTCCAACCCAAACCCTTCTGGGATTGTAATTTTAACTATTTAACTAACAAAACAACCTTCAGAAAAAGGCAGGCAGTAAGAGTTTGCTTTCAGGGCAAGACATCAGATAGGAACTGCAGTGGTACCACTATAACTTTTGGGTTAGTGCTTAAAGCTGATATATTGAATGGAGTTTGGATGTATAGAGCTCTCAGGTAAAACAACTGCTCTCTTCACAAGCATTTGTGTTATTTCATAGTATTCCAGAATGTTTTGGATTGGAAGGGACCTTAAAGACCATCTGTTTCCACTCCCTGCCATGGGCAGAGATGTCACTTACTGGATCACTTTGCTCAGGGCCCCATCCTACCCCCCTTGGTTACCATTTTGGGCTCAGAATCACCTGCTACCCACTATTCCAATTTCAAAGTGACACAGCTGTAATGATTACTGGCTCTCTAAATTATTCATTTTTATTAATCAAGCAGAAGCTGCTGCACCAAATATTGCTCCCATAGCAGTGTCACAGCTTTGCTTTCAATGAAAGTTTATCTCCCAGTGGCAGGCCACGGTAACAAAGGCAGAGATTAGATTTGCTATCTTGGGCAGAGACATTTCCTGGAGCTCCTGGGCCGGAACACAGGAGCGTGTGCATAAACCCAAAGGCACAACTCAGTTATTAAACCGCTGGGAATTCTTCTCCTGAGCTTTGTAATGGGAATAGTGGGTTAAGAATGGGCTTTAACTGTCCTCAGACCAGGGCAATTTTGCCAGAGAACTGAGAAATAAATTGGGAAGAAAAATGAGTTATCTGTACAAAAATGACAATTAGTTCAATATCTAAGTTGTTTACATTCTCACTGGATTTGACAGAAAGGTAATTTTGAAACAAATACTTTCACCTGCTGAAGGATGGATAAAATCAAGAAGTGGTCCACGGTTTATTTTCAATTAATATTAGTAATTATAGTATTTCAATTTGTCACATTCTTTTAAAAGTGACCTGGCAAAAAAAGAGGATCTGTTTGGGTTTGATCTAGTTAAATCCACTTACAAGTCTTGATGAAGCTTGTGGTTTTTCTTGTAGAGAGCAGGAAGAAACACACAAGTGGAGAATATTCATATGACATGGGTAGCTTGGGACTTCCAAAGATCAATTTTATTTTTTTAAACAAAACTCTCTTTTCAGAATATACTCAAAGACCTTATTAAGTGGGAAATGAAGATTAGTACAAACCTCAGCAGAACCCCAGCTCTCATGATCAAATAGAGATTCTAATCTCTGCAGAATACCTTCAAGATCAAACAGCATTTTTTAAACCACAGCTGTGTACAGTCCTGAAGAAGCAGCTCATATTTTCTTGGGGGCAGGGGCCAAAGATGGAGGATGTGAAAAAGAAAGAACAAGTTCTGCTTACAAGGGGTAGCCCAGTGCAGCACCACAGTGTTTGTCCCTCTTGGGAACAGCACCTTTGGGACCCGACATCACTGCATCAGAAGGTCAGGCTGAGCAGGGTTGGGAAAGGAAGTGGGAATTCAGTCATCCTCTGCCTCAGGCTGCTCTCTCTGTCACATGAGGTGGCCAGAATCTCACTGAAGTACTGGGGAGAAGAGAGCAGAGGACAAATCCCATCCTGGGGTCCTGCTGGGCTCAGTGTGGGCTCACCTGGAGCCCCACGTGCAGGGCTGGCCCCAACACTGGGGAAGGACGGGCAGGTCCTTGGATGCATCCAGAGTGGGGTGACAGAGCTGAAGGCAGGTCCTGGGAAAGGCAGCGGAGGGCTCTGGGCTTGTCTAGTTTGCAGAGAAGGAGGTTGAGGAGCAGCCTGAGGAGGGAATGTGCAAAGAGAAGTGCTGAACCCTTCTCCCTGGGATTCAGGGTCAAGATGGGTGGGAATGGTTAAAAGCTGTGCCAGGGGCAGTTCATACTGGATATTAGGAACATTTCTGTACTGAGCAGGTAGTCATATATTGGAATAGGCTTCCCAGAGAGCTGGTGGATGCCCCAGGCCTGTCAGTGTTCAAGACATTTGGACAATGCGTTAACAACACACTGTAATTTCTGGTCAGCCCTGAAGTGCTCAGGCAGTTGGGTTGATGCGGTCCATTTTAACTGAAATACTCTATTATATTCTAAAATGTCTGAATTTGGCCAGCTATATCTAGTCAAAAGGTTTCTACAAGCAGTTTTCAGCGTCTCCTCTCAGCCAACAGCCATTTACAAAACCAGTCTGTATCTGAACTCTTTGCTGCCATCTGAGGTATTTCAGCTGCTTTTCCCCTTGCCTGACCAGAAAATAATCTGTTCCACAGCCTGATGCAGTCCTGATCTGCATTTTGAGGCGCCTCATGGGGTGCAGAGACAGGATCACACAGCACCTGGGCATGGCCAGGCCAGCCTGGTGTCTCTTGAGTCTGCTTAAGGTCCGCTAGAGGTTAAAGTGTGCAAAGGAATGCAAGCAGCATCCTCCTCTTTTCAACTTCCTTGAGAAAAATCTGGAGGAGGGACATGAAGAGGATGAAGGGTCTGGAGGGGCCATACAAGGAGCAACTGAGGGCCCTTGGATTGTTCAGCTGGAGGATACTGAGGGCAGAGCTTCTGGCTGCAGCTCTTCCCAAAGCACAGTGTAGGGACAGCTCTGATCTCTGTGCCTAGGGACAGGAGCCAGGGAAGGGCTGGAGCTGTGCCAGAGCAGGGTCAGGCTGGAGATCAGAGAAAGGTTCTTCTCCAGAGGGTGCTGGCACTGCCCAGGCTCCCCAGGGAATGGGCACGGCCCCAAGGCTGCCAGAGCTCCAGGAGGGTTTGGACACCGCTCCCAGGGATGCACAGGGTGGGGTTGTTGGGGTGTCTGGGCAGGGCCAGGGGTCAGACTCCATGATCCCTGTGCGTCCCTTCCCACTCAGGATATTCTGTGACTCTGTGACCGGGTCAAAGGACAGCCCAGGACACCGCTGCTTTAACACCATCCCTCACATTCCTCTCACACGGTTTTAAGATTCCCAAAAGGCTGATTAGGGAAGTAAGCAAAACGTGCAAAGCGCCTAGTATGAGTGCTAAGTTAAATTCCAGCCATGCCTGGTGCTGCCGGCTCATGGCGCGGCACAGCCACGGGGTGGAGCTGGACACATTTACACACTTGTCACGGAGATTCTTAGGGATTGATGTGTTGGGGCTGAAAGCTTTGCTTTTGAAAGCACAGAGTGATAAAATAGTTTGGGTTGGAAGGGATCTTAAAGCCCATCCAGTGGCTTTAAGGGCAGGGACACCTTCCACTTGCCCTGGGACACCTTCCACTAGCCCAGCTTGCTCCGAGCCCGTCCAACCCGGCCTTGGGACACTTCCAGGGATGGGGCAGCCACACAGCTTCTCTGGGCAACCTGTGCCAGTGTCCCACTGTCCTCACCAGCCAAGAATTGTTTCCTATTCGCTCGTTTAAACCTGCCCTGCTTCAGCTTGAAGCCATTATCAAAGCCTGCATTGCACAACCCCCCGACTGCATCAGCTCCATCCTCAGCCTGTGGCGCTTTGCGGATGCTCTGCCCTGCCTGGGCTGGAGCTGCCTGCCTGCCTTACAGCACTGACACCGAGCAAACAGCCCACAAACATCCTGGGTCACCTTTTTATCCTTTCAAACGTTTTGAGCATGTGGCAAACCTCCAAACCATTGGTGTTTTCCCCATTTAAAAAGGCAAAACCTACCGTTCTGAAGAATTTCAGAAGGTTATTGGTTAAATTAGAAACAGCTGAACCAGCCTGAATTGTTTCAACTTCCTCCACATTTTTGCCTTAGCTTCAATAACATTGTATTTTTGTCTTACAAGAAGGGCAGAAAATTAGATTTAATACTCTTGTGTTTGATTTTTTTTTTTTTTTTTTTCTGCTTTGGCATTAAAGCAGCTGTAATATCTCTAACTGGGATTGTAAATAGGCTATATATAGGAAATAACAGGCCGTGGATCTAATGCAGACTCGAGAATTAAGTATATAAATGTAGTGGGAAATAGTATTTTTTCCCAAATGCTGGAAAGGACTAAAGACCTCTGTGCCATAATCTGATTAAACACAGAAAGTCTCCTTCAGGAGGAATACTCTCTTTCAATATAAGTGGTTGACAAATTGGCAAACAAAATAGGCAACTTCTCCAAAGGCTATTAAATATATGGTATGTGTAATGCACAGGAGATTATTTTTTATGCTACAACCCCCAGAAATCCTGCTGTGACTTCTTCAGGGCCATAAAGTCAATCTCCATGCCCCATTCTTTTGGGAAAAACCTACTGTTCCTCCTAACCCCCACCACCATCTGCTCCTATTTAACACCCCTGGCAATGGCTGAGCAAACACTTACAGACTACCCAAGTCTCTTTATGTTTTAGAACTGCTTCCACATCTCAGATTTAATTGATCACATAACAGTAAAAATTTTGATAAATAAAAAAGAGTCCACACTGTGAAGACCTCCTACCTTGAGAGCATTCATATGCTTCCAAAAAAAGCCAGGCCAACAGAAAAGAAAAAAAAAAAAATGCAAAAAAACTATTTTAAATTGTTGTAACATACTCATCACTTACTTGTTTCCTGTGTACTTCCAGCTGATAAATCATGGGATCCAAATGCAGCCACATCTCAGAGACAGTCCTTCCAGCCCCTCCTGAAGGCACTTGCAGCAGAGGGCAATAGAGAATGTTCATTTCCTCTCACTGCCTTTGATTTCCTGAGCAGGTAAGTCAAAAGTTGGAATGTTCATTTTTTAATCCATACCAATATGCTGATGAAGAGCATTTTGAGACTACAATTTAATATTTAAAGTCTTGCCCTACTATTATAGTAAAAGAAAATTGAGAGAAAATCTCTTGTGTTGTTTAGAGGCACAAACCTTTCTGTAATGCTGAATATTCTGATAAGAAGATATGCATGAAACAGTTACTCAGCTCCTTACAGAAACTAGTTTGGATTTATGCCTTGTGTTTATAGTGTTTTCCAATATAAAATTTTACTAGTTTTACATGTTTTCCAATACAAAATATTCATCCTTATAAGTCAGCTTTGTGTTCACTGACCTTCAATGAAGTGGAGGTCTAGACAGGGATATGAAAATAGTATTTTCACTTTAAATTCAATTGAAAAGCATGATGTCAGCAGGAAAACCAAGTCACAGCCAGATTTGTTACATTAACTATTCCAATTAACTGTTCTACATTGCTGTGTGATGAGTATAACCATTGCACAGGATCAGGCTCTTCCCAGAAGTTCCATTAGCCCCAAATTCCTAAGTGCACAAATTCTCACCTGCTTGCTGTAGAGAGCAAGGACTGTTCCATGGCTCCTTCACTAGCAAGCAGAAGAGGAATCCAGGAAAGTCCATTTATGAACAGAAATGAACAGGTAAAGTGTTCACAGGGGAATAACAAGTGGCCACAAGGTGCCAGCAGACAGGTGGGTGTCTGTGCTAAGCAAGGTGTTCTTTTCCTGAGTGCTGGGTGTATACATTTAATAAACCAAAGACCAGCCTTGCTCCACAAGAGCCTGTCCTGCACTCAACCAGTTTCTCTCCTTTTGCCACCAGCTTTGTGTACAAGACACTTTGTTATTCTAAGCACACAGGGATTTTGCTCAGTATCTTGTTCATTCTCACAGCACATACTGAAATCAGGAACTGATAAGGTGAGGAGATTTGATATGTACAAGGCTCAGGGTTTATTTAATCAAAGGACCAAAATTCTTTATATTGGCTAGAAGCAGAAAAGAAGAGGAATGAGGATAATAAACACCCCAGAAGCCAGATATAAAAAGGCAACATATAAATTGCTTATGTGAGGTTGAGTCACACTTTGAAAGTGAAGTGAAAATAAAAGATTTTAAATTAGAAGGAAAAAAAAAATCAACCACATAAAATATTGGCTGAAGGAAACACAGACCTGTTCTATTACTGCCCATTAGTGATGCCAGCAAGTAGTCTCCAAATGACTACACATGAATACAAACTCTCAGGTACACTCCCACACTTGTAAGCAAAGTAACAAGTAATGCAGAGGGAAAGAAAACAGAACCATTTAGGCTAATTTTTAGCTGGTTGAAAACGCAGAAATGCAGCATAAAGTGCATTCATATATTTGGGGTTTCCCCAAACAGGTTATGTAGTTCCTTCTAAAAGATTGAAAATATCTATTGTGCAACAGGGATAGAACTGAGGTAAAATGTAATAGACACATAGATATATCGGTATACATATATATATATATATATGTAGTCCCCAAAAGAAATGCAGATTTTGCCTCAGTTAGCAATAGAGTGATGACAAAGGCAGCGCAAAGGTGCAGTAAATTTCTAGGATTGGGGAGGATCACAGTTATCTCCAGAAAAAAATGGATTGCTCAAGATATTATAGTAGAAATTAAATTATATTTCACAATATAAAGTCATGCACACACTGTTGGACTGCAGTTACAGAATTTCCAGCTGGAAGCAAGAAATCAATTTTAAAAAAAATAAAAGTAAAATAAAAAGTATTTCTATTATTTTGGTAAAACAAAATATGTCCATAAGCTGCTAATGTGGTGCTCTGAAAAAAAAATACATGCAAATCCAAACATTGGCATGTTGGTAGCAGCTTTCCATTAAGGCCTGGAAGTATGAATACTAGTAACTGACAATGTGAGATTTTAGTTGCATATAATTTTGATCATATAAACTTCTAAAATTTTCCAGATGAAATAAGACCAGACCTAAGTAAATCTTCCTTAAACAAGAGGCTGGACTGCAATGGTCTCCAGAGGCGCTTTCCAGTCTAAATTATTCTGGGATTCAATGACAACTTTATATTTAGATTATTCCAGTACTCAGAACAGAAAAAGGTAATTTATGCAAAATCCTACCTCTCTCCTTCTCCCAGCCCTTCTTCCTATATTTTTGCCCAATGCCAAACTCAGCTTTCTCTGGGAATACCTTCAACTCTTCTACTTTAGCTGTGATTAATTCATTCATTCCCTGTTGGATAAAATAGTTTGTTTTCCCACTTCATATTGCCAGGTGGATATTATGTTGTGGAAATCCAGACTTTTTTGCAAACAGCCTGAAAGTCCAGGCCCAAGGATGTTCATACTCTGCTGGTCCCCAGACACAGCACTATGCTCTGTGAGCTGTATGTTTTGGGGTTCTTACCTTGGAATTAGGCTAGCAAGAAGTCCCAACTCACCCACTCTTAGTGTGTGGGTTCAGGTGTTATTTACCAGCAGAGGTGTTTCCATTACCTTGCAAACAAGGAAAATAATAATGAACATAATAATGTAAATAATAAACACTTCATTAAATATAAGATAGGCTCGTTAATTGGCTCAGATTAAGGTGCACTGGTAATTTAATTTATTGTCTCCCTGCTTTCAGATGATACTTTTACATTAAAACGCTCTCCATGTTCTCTCTCTTTTCAGAACTTTCATCTATGATGGAATGTTTTTCATTTAGGGATCTAATTTTTTCCATTAAGATCCTGAAAGAAAAATGCAGCCAAAGGGCTTGCAGGATCAGAATTTGCAGTTCATTCTTAAAACAGAACCTGTGCATCCAATTCCCTGCTCCTCAGCCCATTCCTCCTCTTTCACAGGCACCTGCCTCAACAGTCAGGAAAACTTTGGGATGGCTGCGGATGTGGAGGGCAGGAATAGGGACAGGAGCAAACCCTCCCAGGGCTCAGAGTCCTGCAGCTCTTCAGGAAACATTAATCTTATTCCAGTACTGGAGCAGCTTTGCTTCTGCTTTGCTTCCTTAGAAGTGTTCCTGCATCTCTGCTCATCTGGAGGCAGAATGTTTCCCCAGACCATCCCTGGGGTTGTTCCCTTCCCAGCCTGACTACATCACTCTAGGTCAAAATTTTTTTGGTATCTCTTTCCAGCAGGAAAGCATTTTCTGTCTACTGAAAAACGCTGCACATCGGGAAACGTTGTGGAGTAGCAAATAGTTATTGATAAAACAAAGAGAAGCTCAATGAAATTAAAATTATTTTGTAAACAAAGAACCCATCACCAGCAGCTAATACAGATTATCTGCACTTCTATATTCAAAGCTGCATTACGAGTATTAAGGAAGAGAAAGAGCTGGGAAGGTTCACAAAGTTCACTAAATCCTTTGCATTCCAGAAAGAGATAAATTTCTCATTCATATCTCCATCGTGAGCTTTATATACAGAGAGACACAGCTCTGCTTTCCATGAGCATCAACATGCCTCACATATCTTTTCTCCCCATTTATGCCAAATAATTAAAATGTGAGACAAGAAACGCTAAGCACAAAATGGTTGGGGATTAACAGAGACATTTCCTCTCTCCAGTTTCTGTTTATGGCTCTCCTTCCTTTCAGACTCCCTCTTCTGTTGGAATTATTTTGCCTGAGGTTTGATGATATTTGAATAACTTAGCTTAGTCTTGTAGGGAGATGGACTCAAAATTTAGTGACATTTCTTTTCCCTGCTCTAATGACTCCAGATCTCCTGCTAAAAGGTAGGACCTTTAATTCCCTTTACTGGCCCATGGAAAGCTGTAATTCCACCAGAGGGGAACCTGGCTGCTGTGCCTCCAGCTCTTCCCCAGGTGAGGAGGTGGTCAGAGGAGAGAATGCAGGCTGTCAACACGTGGGAACAGGTCAGCCCTCAGTCCTAAAAGAAAATATTTGCACCAGAGTCCAATCCCCCCCATCCCCATGCCCAGTGATGAATTTGTCCAGTTAAACTGGTCAGAAATATCTCCCTGACTCCTCCTAAGGACGAGGTTGGAAGCAGAGGAATCTATAACTCTTCACTTCTTGCCAGATAACTGCAAAGTAACTTCTGGAATAGTTTCCTGCCATGTAGAAAACAATGTTCTGGCAGCAGGGATGTGTGTGAGTGCTCTGCAGGGAGAGCATTGTCTGGCGTGTCAGTGTGTTTGTGTACACAAATATTAATGAAACAGAGGCCAAACAGGAACTGAACTCTCTCTGGGAACTGCTCCTCCATGGCATACCCAGGGAAGAAGGGAATGAAACATTCAACTGTGCAAAAACTGCTGGAAAACAAACACCACTGTCTTCTATTGTGTCTATCTTTTGGGGAAAATTGCACTGAGAAATTCCACAAGTGTGTTTACGCTGCTCTCAAGTGGGGTTTCGAGTTGTGTTATTTTGTGTCATTGCAAGCTCTAACGCGATTCAAGGCCACACGAAATGATTTGTAATTTGCTTTGGATAATTGTTGGAGGCCCAGAATGACTGGATTCTACGCACTTTGGGCAGCCACAGCTTCTCTGGTCAACCTGTGCCAGAGAAGAGAGGGAAGACTTTCCTTCCAATATCCCATCTAACCCTGCCTCTGGCAGCGTGTAGCCATTCCCCCTTGTCCTGTCCCCCCAGGCCCTTGTCCAAAGTCCCTCTCCATCATTCCTGTACGTTCTCCTCAGGCACTGGAAGGCCTCCCCTTCTCAAACATTTACACCAGAACATCAAACACACAGATGATGTTTTTATACAGGAGGAACTCCATTTCCCCTACCTCACACAGGAAAAATGTGCTTTCTAGGGACGAAAATAAGTAATTTCTTTTTAAAAAAACTTCCTAAAAAGAAAGTGGGTTGCATGATTATTTTTTATAATAAAACTGATAAAGTGCCAGGCACTGGTCTTGAGAGAATGGCCAATGTGCTGAGTGTGAGGCCCTTTTGGAGGTTTCTGGAAGGAGCCACCATTTAAAAATCTTACTTTAATTCTGGCTATGATTAGAAATTCTGTAGCTATGACAGCAGTGTGCCATCTGTATAACAGGACCCTGTTAGAGTATCCATCTGGTAAGGAAAGGATTACTTCATCAAATCTTACCGTTTGAAATCCTCATGAGTGGAGTACGTATTTACCCTGGGTGCTGTGAAGGGAGGGACACAAGGCAGCAGAAGAGCTGGAAATTTCCCTGCCCAAATGACCAGACCATCAGCATCCACTGAGATTTTGAGGTGGCTTAAATGGTTAAAAATGAGCCATTAGTTCATTTTTTATTACATTACACCTCCCTCTGGAGAGGTCCACCTCTGCCAACAGCATAATGCAAGGCTAGGGTTTTGAAGAGCTCACAGGCAACACCTAAAGGAATGACAAACTGGCTGCAGAAAGACCTTGCTTTAAAGAGGATGCTATTTCATATTTCATATGAAATACAGAACTCTGAACTCTGGCTTTGTCAGTTTTTTCTGTTCCCATTTATTGCTTGAAAGATCAGGCTAATACTTAGACAAAGGATTCATTAGTGAATTTTACAGGAGAATGAAAACACCCAGAACAAGGAAAGGAATCTATTTTGCTTTGAAAAGAAAGTCATGGGGGGAGGAAGATAAGCAGAGAGAAAGGGGGAGTGGTGTGGCTTTAAAGAGAGGCAATCCAGTGACTTTTTGAATAATTAAAATTAATTTTTAATCTTTCTCAAAGAAAAATGAGATAGGCTCTATCCAAGCAGCAGGAAGGCTTAAATATATCCTGTACTGGACACTAGTTCAGCTTTAGTAGGAGGGAAAAAGTGAACATCTCTGAAAGAGGAAAAGGCAAATAAGCCAAGAGAAGATGCAAAAAACCTGTACAAACCTTTCAGAGAACATCTTGGAGAAACCATAGCACTGAACCAACACCAACACCTCCCAAGGCTTATAGACAAGCCAGGATCAGCAGAGTCCTGGCTGGGGCACACAAAAGGGAAAGGGCCAAAACCAGCCCATGACAGTGGGGCTGTCTGGAACCCTTGGTGAGCTTCCCAGCCAACTGCTTCAGGACCTCCAGTCCAAATTCACCTGAAAATTCATGCCTAGGTGAACTCAACAGTTGATTCTACATCAAATGCATAGGTTGAAAAAATGCAGTTCTACTAGCCAAGCTGATTGAATTGTGCTCTCAGCAGGTGGCACATACTTACCACATTGTGTCCCATTACTGAAATGGTTTATTTGAATGGTTATTTGAAATGGTTTTTACCAAGATAAAGTAACAGAAATCTCCATTTTAACAAGAAGGAAAGAAATCTACTCCATTCATAATTAAAACATCTTGTATATCCTGCCTCAAAAATAATTTTGTTGTCAAGAGTATTATAAAGGGTACATCTTCTTGTAGGAGTAGTTCTGCCCACCTGCTGTTCTTTGTAAAGTGAAGGAGAGGAATAAAAAAAATTGCCTGACCCGTGACCACCTTTGGGTAAAGCTTTCTGGCACAAAAATCATGGTGCCAAAGGCAGGATTTCCACTGTTCGCTGGTGTAGGAGCTGATTAGTCAGTGCCCTAGGAGCAGAAATGATGCAGTGTGACTTCCAAGGCAGGCTCAGGACCCTCCTCATGGACAAATTCTACACTCCAGGTACAATATATTTCCACACACAGTTGTTAAACTGAGGGGCAAGCAGGAAGAGTCATTAAGTACACCCTTCTCAAAGCTTGCTGGTAGGAAGAATCCTATCAGTTATGTGGGATACAGTTGCAGTAATATTGAAAAATAATGCCTTGCTTTCACAGACTCACAAAGGTTGGAAAAGACCCCCAAGGTCATCAAGTCCATCCTTCAAATCCCACAGTGCCCATTAAACCATTTCATGAAATGCCACATCTACTCATTTCCTCAACTCTTCCAGGGAATGGGGAAAGGGAAAGGGATTTCTTTACAACTCACTTCCTGATTAAGAAAGGCATCAAAATGAGGTTTGCTTGGCATCAATTAGCAGTGGTTGATGTGCATTAAAATGTAAACTCTCATACACAGACCCACGGGTAACTCTCATCTCTGAGCTGTTGCCTCCTGCCTTCTCCCCAGGCATCGCTTCCTTTCTCATCCATCCCAAACCTGAAGAGAGGGATTTGCACGCAGGATTTCAGAAGGAAGGCAGTGGGAAGGGAAGGGGAGCCTTTCCCACTGCTGACCTTGAGCAGTTTACTTCAGTGTCAGGGAAAGAGATAACTCTGTTTACATTTCCATTCCCTGGAAAGATCACGAGATTATTTAGATGACGTCTAGACAATGCTCTGAACATGCCGAAGAGCCACATAAAGCTCAGCTTTATGAGGAATAGTCTCCCCTTTTTTTTTTAAACTCCAATTTCCAAATACATACAGGCAGCCAAAATGCAGAGCTGAGTATGCCAGCAATGCTGGGTAAATCCCTGGCATCACACATCAATCTGCTCTTTCATGTGAAATTAAAGCCCTCTCTGACCAGAGTGGAAACAAAAGGCGGGCATGGAACAGCCAAGGAAAAA